CCCTCTAGGTCTTCTCAGACCCTTACCTATTCCCTCAAGACCCGGAGATTTTGTATCCATTGATTTCATGGATGTTGGGGTTCAAAGTAGGCATGGCAAAAGCCAAGTCATGGTTGTAGTCGATAGGTTTAGCAAATATGCAATTTTTATTCCTTTGCCTTGCACGTACCGACTTAGTAATAGAAAAGTTCTTTGATCATTGGGTTAATGAGCATGGTCTACCGCTATCCATAGTTAGTGACAAAGATACCAGGTTCCCCAGTCAGAACTGGCAGGAACTGATGAGGGTCTACGGCTCTAAGTTGCTGATGTCGTCGGACCGTCATCCAAGAACTGACGGTCAGACTGAACAAATGAACAAACTCCTGCAACAAGTTCTTAGAATGTACATTAGGCCCAATCAAGTTAACTGGGACAAGATGCTCCCAAAGGTAGCCAGCGCGTACAACAACAACGTTCACCTAGCAACCTGTCACACTCCCAATGAGTTACACAAGTCCTTTAAAGCCCGCAGACCATTTGAGGGACCGAATCGGGACCAAATTTAGAAGCTACCACCCGGTACTAGGGAGTTGTGTTACAGCATGAGAAAGAGATTGCCACAGTAGTCGAGAACCTCAGGAAGGCCCAACATAAGATGATAGAACAGGCTAATAAAGACTGACCCCCATCACAGTTTCAAGTAGGTGACTTACTCTCGGTCAAGTCCAAAGAGTGTGTCCCTGAGGAAAACATCTCGCAGAAGCTGTTGCCTGCGTATAGAGGACCGTGGCCAGTCTTAGAAGTCGTGGGTGGAGATGGTGGGCCGTCCTACACCATAGAGATTCCAACACACCTCCACACACACCTAGTTTTTCATGCGTCGAAGTTGTTGCCTTGCACTACGAGTCAGCAATTCCCGTCAAGGAGGTCCATGATCCCTCCCGATATGGACGAAAGGTACGACATTGATCACATAGTAAATGAAGATGTGTTCAAAACAGGAGGTAGAGGTCATCCGCAGAAACAGTACAAAGTCAGATTTTCTTACCAGGAACCGGAAGACGACCGCTGGTTTACCCGAACAGTTCTAGAGACTGCTCCTGATGTAATCTGTGCCTACGAAAGAGCTAAGAAATGTAAAGGACCTCGAATTTAGGCCGGCGGGAGTGAAACGGTTTTCACCTTTATGGTAGCAGTTCCCGTTCCCAGGGCTTGATCCCCGGATCTCACCCTTACCCATGTACAGTGTTAGTTGCCTGTGTGTGTTTGAACCCGCGAACTGTGGCTTGGTAGTCGCCTGTTGTCTGTCACAGGTTAGTGTCGGTCAGGAGTCTTAGTAGGGTTAGGAGTCGTAGCTGCTACAGTACCGAAAGGTCAAGTCTACGAACTTCCGGAAGGTCTGGAAGCGACCCTTCGTGTGGTCTTAGGCTAAGGTCTGTAGGCAAGTGGGCAAGTGGTTAGTCCAACCTCGCCTAGTCAGCGGTACCCAGTCCCAGTCACACTTTGTCCAGTCAGCAAGTACCATGTGGGACTGTGTGCACCCTGGGCCCGGTGGAAAGGGGCAGACCAGCAACCAACCGAAGTATAAATCAAGAGGCAGCGTCCAGTCATTCATTCATTCTGCCTGTGAGTCGTGAGGAAGCGCTGCCTGAGCGTCTTGTGCAAGGAGGTCTGCAGGTGCCCGAAGGAGAAGTGGGCTGCGAGGACGACGAAGCGGCCATAGCTGCTAGCAGCTAGGAGGTAGAAGGCAGCCATAGCTGCCATAGGTTAGAGATAGGCTGTAGCGTGTAGGGGTGAGAGTGTTGTGTGAAGTGTCTGTGTGTGTGTGTGACATCCAGGGACATCCAGAGTAGTGTGCGTGTGAACAGTTGCTGGGAATACAGTGTCGGCTGGGTGTTGTGTGGGCGCACAGGCGCCATAGCCATCAGGAGCAAGTTGAAATCTGAACTGTGTTCTTGGCCTCAATATCTCTGAGCTTTGTGTGGGCGCCTGGCGCCAGTGTGATTGCCATCTGTTTTCATGCATGCTGAGTAACGAAGAAGACGAGTCTGGTTGCAACAGTTTCCGTGCAAAGTTCAGTGAAAATTTCAGAAACAAACTATATGGGCCCATAGTGCAAACATTAAAAAAAAAAGGAACTCTCGAAGTCAAAATGAAGCGCTCAACGAATCCAACAATACGCCAACTTTTTCATTAGTGATCCAAACATGTCAAAACTGGACACATGACGTACCCTAAAGCACCTACACATCAGACAAAACGAAAAACAAGAAAAAAAAGCAAAAAATCAGGGCAATATGACAGTTTCAGATAGGACGATTGTCACGCCTCTGGGGTAGGATGAGATCTTGATCATCCACCCAAATGTCACCGTAGTGCAGCCCCCTAGCCAAGGGGGGGTCTTCAAGTCACTCAGCAAGCTGCCACGTGGCACTGCAGATGGCCATGTGTGCAGGCAGCAGCAGCCACGGGGCGGGCGGGGGGGGGAGGCGAGTAACACCCGCTGCTGCCAGGGAGGAGAAAATAGTCGATGTGACACTCTTGAACAACGTGCCACACACTCACCTCATGCTTTGATAGTGGCCAGTGTGTTAGAGCACTAGCCACACGCGCATGAGCAGCAGCTGCCCAGGTTCAAACCCTCGCAACAGCATGCATTCCAAATCTTGACATAGACATATCTGGGAGTGGGTGGGGCACAATGCGTGTATGCGACGGCCTTGGCCTTGACGCCTGCATCACCGCTTCTCCTCTTTCCCGTTGTTTTTGCTCTGCACGCCCCGAAAAACCTCCAAATCCTGCTGTTCGGGATTACGCGCCAGGGGGTGCTGCTTGCTGCTTGCGGGACGGGATGGGAGATGGCGGAATGGAGAGAAGCAGCTCTGCCGTAGACTCGACATGCGCGTACCCACAGCTGTGCAAATGAAGAATGATCCCGAATACAGACTGCAGCTGGGGTATACCCCAAGCGGACTGACATGACTGAACGGGACTGGTACCGGACTGGACTGGACTACATAGACACACGGCCTGTTTCTGCGCTCTCCCTGAGAACCCCAAATCCGGGCTCATTTCTGTTTTTGAGAGTTGGCTGTCAAGGGGGGGAAGGGGGGTATAAATTGGTTTTAAGGGGCTAAAGGGGTTTAAAGGGGGGTGGCTTAGTGTTATTCTGTTATTTTCTTTTTTATCTCCGATTCTGTGAGGAATTCTGATGTGACCCTCAGCCAAAAGTCGTTTGTATTGCAATTCTACACAACATATTATTTCTTTCAAAATTCTTTGTTTTTTTTTTTTTGTTTTTTTTTACGCTGGGGCTGCACGGAACCCTACCCGGTGGTCATCCCCGGCTGGGCACCCATGCGTGTATCCGGGCATAAGTCGGGTGCCTGGGCGCCGGTGCCCGGGAAAACAGCCTAGAGTTTCAGTGCAGAATTCGGCGAAAATAAACACCCCCGGTTCACCACATGTTAACACAAAAACGAATCCACAAGGCAGCAAAATGGAGGAAATCTTCAAGAAGTTCACCAAAAACAAACTAGACAGTGGAATCCAGGCACACTAGAAGGAGAAAGACTTGTACTTTAAAAAAGAATGGTTAACTCTACCAGTAACAACAGCCAAGAAACACCAAAAGGCTTAAACCACCAGTACATGGCCCCAGCCAAGTTGAGAATCTGACTGAGCCTCTCCTAAAATTGCTTGGGACAGGTCGTCTGAAGGGCCAGTACACCGTGGGGTGGCACTAGGCCCAGCCCTGAACAAAAAACAAGAATCTACCTGCCCCCAGGTGGGCCCTGTCCCAAGTCCCCTAACTTTCTGGAGAGCCTCATTCCAATTCTCTAGACGTACTCGTGGTTTAACTCAGTTGGTACACCCATGAACTGTTGAAATACAGACCCAAGTTCGAATCCAGATGCAATCAAATGAATGAACAGGGAAAAAAAAAACAAAAAGCCAACAGACACACACCAATCCAAATAGGCCATCGAGTCCACCCGAGGATCCCTCTAGAGGAGAGCCAGAATGTATGAAAAAAAAAAATGAAAAAAAAGGGATAGACAAACTCAAAACCATCAAGCCACTTAGAAAACGAGTAACCGAACAAATGCTAACTATAAAAGAAGAACGGCAGACCCCCCCAACAGCGGTAGCGAACTGATTAATCAGGGTCAAGCAAGGCTAGATGAGCAAGTGTAACCCCAGGTTCTGAACCAGGGGACTATCAGTCTTTTAGGAAAAGAGGCACTGAGCATATTCTAACTATGATAGAGGTCATTTGCCAGTTCACTTCGGCAGGCTGAGGCGAAAGGCGCAGAAGATCAGTCTTCCTTTTCCAGGCAGACAAACAACTACAGACATAGCTAACGGTAAAATAAAGGGGATAAGAGTAAAGGATACGAGGAGCAAGTGCAAAAGTCAAGTAAGGACCTGACAGACAATCCTTTCAAAGGGAAGCACCATACTTCCAAGCAGACGGACCGGACGAGCGTCCGGTCCGGTCCGCTTTGCCGCGTGCGGCACCTTCCCCCCGGACCAGATGGACCCGGACCGGACCGGACAGGGCCATTTTTTTATTTTTATTTTTTGGGGTGGGGCGTAACTGGTCGTCGGGCGCACATTCGTGCGCCGCGCGGGTCCGGTCCGGCGGTCTGCCGCACTTACGGAACCGCCCGGACGGCGTCCGCTTGCAAGTATGGGAAGCACTCAATGCTATCAGGATCACTTGGGATGTAGCAGCCATCCTATTGTTAAAAACAGGGGGAGAGCAGTGGTGAATCTTCCTTTGGGACATCCGTTAAAATTGGGAAGATACAGAAAAGGGTGATTAGCATGGCCCCCGCACAAGGATGACACGCATAAATCGAGAAATGGTTCCCCCCCAAAAATAAAAATAAAAAAAATCAAGCGGATAGTAATCAATGCTGCTGTCTCAGGGTCTCCCAACCATAATGGGAAGAAGCATTGAGTGTGTGCATCTGATGTAAGGGATGCTGGACCCATTTTCCAGCGTTATTAATATGAAAACATTGAAAAGCCGATTTTTCTGCACTAATAGAAAAATAAAAAAGAAAAGAAAAAAGGAGAAGGAGTTTGCACTTCACAGCATCATGAGCATGAGAGCTGAATGGAACATGCAGGTAACTATGGATAAACAGCTCATTACTTTAGATTGAATCCACACAGAAGCCCGGATTGACTGATCCTAGCGGCTAGCCCCGTCAAGACAAAACCAGAAACAAATAAAAAGGGAGTTGTCCACTCACCTATAACTTCCATATCCCATGTGAGGAACTTGTTGAGCTTTGATTCCAACTCAGCAGCTGCATCCACAGTAAGCAATAAACACCCTTGAGTGAAATACTTCAGCGGAACTTCAACCTGTTTGGTTGTGTATGGGACTGAAGTTACATTAGTCAGTGAACTTTTTTTTTTCTTTTTTCTTTTTTCTTTTTTGAAACATCCCAGGGTCATACCATAGGGGCTGATAAGAGCAGTCCCTTGTGCTATAGTTTTTGGGTGGCTCCCATCCATTGGTGGGGAGCAACACCTGCCAGAAATCGGGTCGAGCATCCCTTGACACATACATCAGTCAGTGGACTTAGTTTGCAAACCAGCTGGCATCCAGGACAGAAGGTAAAGTTACACCCCCTGTTTTTTGGCATGTTTTCAAAAGGGCGGTTTGGATAGGCAGACCGGGCTGTACCCAAGCAGAGGCTTGGCTGTGATCGGTGTACACTGTTGCAGAATGAGACACTGGACCCGGTTTCCAGCACAAGCCAAACCTGAGTAACGACCTGAATACTTCCAGGTGGAATTGTGAGGTCCCCGGCCTCGTCTTATTATTATTTATCATGGCTACCATCTGGACATCCGGACAGGCGTCCAGAGTCCAGACGGTCTGCTGTCCGGTGTCTGGACGCAGGACCGTAGGAGGCCCGTCCGGAAGGGGCCAAACCCACGAAATTCAAAAAAAAAATGGGGCACCCTAGACCTGTTCCTTGGGTCCAGGACGCCCCCTGAAAAATGTTTCTATGATTTTTGGGGCCGGTATCGGCCGTACAGGGCGGCCGGACCGACCCCTTTTCTATTTGCATCCTGGGCAGACTGTTGGAGGCAGAGCGCAGTTCCCCAGTGACAAAGGGAAGAACGGGCGGATCTAGGCACTTCAGAGTGCTTTCTTGCCCACCCGCCGCCGCCACACACACGCACACTCACACACACACAGAGGGAGAGGGAGAGAGAGCCTTTGTTACTGTTGTGGACTGGTGCGCACATGCAAGGGGGAGAGAGAGAGAGAGAGAGAGAGAGAGAGAGAGAGAGAGAGAGAGAGAGAGAGAGAGAGANGAGAGAGAGAGAGAGAGAGAGAGAGAGAGAGAGAGAGAGAGAGAGAGAGAGAGAGAGAGAGAGAGAGAGAGAGAGAGAGAGAGTGTGAACTCAGACTTCAAACTTTGAACTTTAAATTATGAACTGCTAAACTCTTGAACTTCATTTAATATTTACCTTTATTCAGTTTTACTGTGGAGTGTTCTTTTTTTGTTTCATCACTTTTTCTTCCCTTGCAGCAGTTGGTGCTTTGCAGTGACTGTGCCAGCACAGTGCATGTCAAGGAATGATCATTCATGCTTGTCATATATGCCAACAGCTATGTCTTCCTGGAACACTTCCCCTTAAGTCATGGTTACACGATGAAACTGCATAAGAGACCGGCAAGGTTTTTTTTTTCTTTCAATCCGGACCGATCCGGACATGATCATCCGGACCATCCAGACTGATCCGGACCATGTCCGGACGGTCCGAACTGGTCCGGAAATCCGGATGTCCGGATCATATCCGGACCGACTGGTTGTCTGGGTCCAGATTGGTCCGGTGTCCGGGTCCGCGGTAGCCATGTTATTTATAATGCAAGTTGATGCTTCCTTTTTTACTATTTATAATGCATGCAATGAACCCAGTCTCGTTATTCCATCATTTCGACAAACAGCAATGTCGTGCAATGTCGTGAGATAATCAATCCAATAAGTCCATAGTTCGAAGTCGTTGAATTACATGTTTTCTCATGAAGTCTCAAAGTCCACAGTATCCAGAAAAGAGAGGAGGGGAGAATAGACAGTCCGGAGGAGAAGTGTAAAACAGCAATTAAGCCCCTTTCTCCTTCAGGCTCTCCACCTCTGCCACGTCAGCAACCTGCACTCAATGTGCCACGTCAGCACTCTGTACTCCAGGTGACATGTGGACGATGTAGAAGCAGCCCCTCACAAATAAGCAATCCTCCGACAGCGAGAAGAATCGGCGGCAGCTTGGCATCAGAAGAAAACAGGTACGTACGCACGACAACTCACATTACCCCCCCCCCTCTCTCTCTCTCTCTCTCTCTCACACACACACACACACACACACACACACACACACACACACACACACACACACGCACACACACACATGCACACACACACATACACACAACACACACACACTCATTCCCTCGCCGTCATCTACGGTCACGGCATTGGCCGCACTCCTCTTCCTCTCTCTATACTACAATATCTGGCTGGCACCCATCAAGCACCCTGGCGCCAGCACTCCCTTTGAAGTCCCACGTGCAGCTTCGTGGCGCCAGCACTCCCTTTCAAGTCCCAGGTGCAGCTTCGTGGCCGCAAGCAACTCACAAGACGGAATGCCCACGCAGTGGCAAGGTCAACCTTTTGTAGCGTTGACTCGCGCTGTCCAGGGTCAGCGTCGGTCCATGTGAGGGCCCGAATCATCCGATTAGTTCCAGTTTCGGTCCGGACTCCTCTAGGCCTGAATCTTTCAGAATCTGCAGACAACTGTTACATCATTCCAGATCGACGGCCAGGAAATCTTGGGTGTTGACTTTGACTTCTCGGATCTGGGCCTGGGTCCACGAGTTGACTGTTGACGTTTCAGTCAACTGTTGGCCTGGTCCATTTTCAAGGCCTGTTTGACGCCTCTTTTTCAAGGCCTGCCCGTTTGTGCTTGTCTGTGGGTGCGTCGAGAGCCCAGCAGCTCAAGTTGGCACACGAGTTACAGCATGCAAGTCGATGCTTCGTTTTTGTTTTTGAAAAAAAACAGGCAATAAACACATTGAGCAAAATACTTTAGCAGAACTTCAACCTGTTGATCATGTTTATGGGATTAAAATTCAATTAGTTGGTGAACTTAGTTTGCAAACTTTGCACCACTAATTGATGAGGGAGACACAAACTTCAACCATTGCCGTGGGCACCCTTGTTGTCGAGAGACGGTTCCTCTACTAGTCAATGAGGGCAACAAAAACTCCGTTGTTTGCTCTGCTAGTTGACGAGGGTGAAAACAACTTCAAGTGTTGGAGCGGGAACCTTAGTTTTCGCTCTACTACCATCTTCACCCAAATAGAACGCCCAGTCGTTATCGCTGCATGTGGACTGAAAGCTGCGCAAAATACAGCAATAATGAAAGCACGTTGTATTGGGGTGAAGAAGGTAGTTGATGAGCGTGACAAAAAAATTGAACCGTTGCAGTGCAGGCAGACCTTGTTTCTCCTTCGACTCCAGCAGCATCCTTGTTTCATTTACTTTGGAGTCAATTTCCTCTGCTTCTCTGTCAATTGCATTGATCAGCCTCCATTGGTTTTCGGCTTTCTCATTTGCAAGGGCCAGCTCCCTCGTCTTCATGACCAAATTCTGCTCAAGCTGATGATTGGTCACCTGCAGCATCACCATCACAGAAGAATCCAGGCAAAACTGTTAAAGACGGATGTCTCAACCTCAACGGTCAGCAGATGACAGTGGTACTGGCACATCCAACAGATCACCTCATTCCTTAATTGATAGACTAATCCCCCATTATCATCATCATACAGCTCAACTACCAAATGCTTAAAATTGCACATAGGCCTGCTATGGCACATTATGATTGGATGGCTCATTTCAATTCCAAATCTCAACTCAAAATACACCTCTCAAAATTGGAACCAGCCATGGGGGCCTCGTCCCACTAGCAGCGTTCAGTTTCCTCAGCGCCCGAATCTGGACTAGTTTGTGGAGACGTGCAGGAAATCACGTTGAGTTTCCTCGACTGCACATCAGATTCTCCACAAACACGTCCAGATTTGGGCATGAGATTGCGGAGACTTGGATAATCTACCAAATGATTGTTGAATCAACTTGAATGTAGATTAAGGAACCTCAACACTGCTAGTGGGATGCGGCCCGAGGAGATGAACACTGCCTATTGTAACGAGTATTGTAACTTAAACTTTTAAGAATGATACCCACAAATTGAGACATCCTCCAAATTTTAGAGAAAGAAAAATGAAGAAACAAAAAGACGGCACCAAGTTAGCAACGACTTTTCGACTCCATAACGGGGACTACTTGAGATTATGTACAGATGAAATCAAAGAATGAATGCTATCATTGCCACCTGTGACTCTCCATGAAATGCCTCTACTGGATGGGTCTACCCATCTGAATGCAAACGCACAGAGCAAGAAGCAAAGGAGCACTTTCCAATTTTGAGGAAGAAGAAGAAGAAGAAGAAGAAGAAGAAGAAGAAAAAAAAGAATAAGAGGAGGAGGAGGGGGAGAAGCAGACGAAGAAGAAGAAGAAGAAGAAGAAGAAGAAGAAGAAGAAGAAGTCACAGGGTAGATTCCTGGTCCACAGTTCAGCACACAAGGTCAGTGCAAAATGATTGGAAAAGTTCAGATTATCACTGCACAAGTGTGCAATGCAACATACCATTACAAGAGGAAGCCTATAACAGTGCGCTTTGCTATAACAGTGTGCTTTGCTTGTACTAGTGAAAAACATGGAGCCTCCGCAATGGCAACGGTCCAACGGATACGTCAGAACATGCAACTAAGACATGCAAAGATGTATTCTCTGTGAGATATAAAGCCTAGGACATATTTGATTATATAGATGTGTATGGCACTGTATGATCTATTTTCATGTTTCACCAACAACTGTTTTGCTGCAGCCCTAGCAAGGTTGTACCTTGAGCTCCTCCACGCACGAATTCCTCATCTGCATTAATGCTGCCATTTCCCTCTTCAACTGCTCTTCTTTCTGAATCATGATTTCAATTCGATCTTGCTGATCCGATACCTGCCAAAAAGAGGGATTGCAGACGAGCAACGCAGGCAACAGATGAACCAGAGACAAAGTCTGCGCAATCTTTACGCCAATAAGGACGACCAAGGCGGCATTTGAGGGTTGAACCGACAAGCGTACCTCAGCTGGTACACCCATCAACTGCTGAAATACAGACCCAAGGTTGAACCCAGATACCATCAGATGAACAACAACAATTCTGAATTACATGGGGCCAGTCAGTTCAATGAATACCTCAAAGCCATTGCCCTTTTTTTTTTCTTTTTTTTTTTGATAAGACAGGGCCTTATGGTCCTGGCTCCTATTCTGGGGAGCGTCAGTCCGGTTCCTGTTCCCCCAGCAAGTCAAAATACATAGTACATGAGACAGAACACGCTCACGCTTCCTTCCGTTCAGGCCGAAGGACCCATGATCAGCATTGATTGCTCCATCATGGTGGAGGATTGACTGTCAGCTTGCCCAGATCCTCTCTTTCCTCTCAGACCTGATGAACAGATCTGTCGGATGGTTCTATGTTCCCTAGAAAGAGTTCAATCGTTGACCTTGACGGCCTGTGTCTAACCCCTTGTACTATCTAGCCTATGACCCAATTTGACCATCCTTCCTCTAATGGTGAACCCCGTTACAGCATTGCCCTTTTGGAAAACCTTGATTAGTGTATCTCTTTTCTCCCCCCATCTGAGTCAGACTTGCTTCTGCCATTGCCCTTTTTATTCTCATTTTTAACACAAAACACACTCCCGCCCCTTCTATTCTGGGGGGCAACAGTCCTGTTACTCTTCACCGGCAAGCCTGAAAAGCATCACATGAAGCGATGGAGCAACTCTGCCAAGGCTTGAGGCGCCATAGAAAATGAGCTGTTGTTACACTGCAGAGGGTGGCAGCCGGGCTTTCACTGTTTCAACCCCCTCCTAGCCAGGAGATGCTCTGTGTACCCAGACGCTCAGGGTTAGAGCGGGCCATGATCGTCCTCCTCCTCTGCACTGTAACAATGCTCCTGCTGCTGAAAGTCTGCCGCTTTGAATGCAGCGGCTGCATCAATTCACCACTGATCCCCGCATCTAGCATTATTCCTAGAATCCATCATCTTCCCCACTATATGGTCCTCTATTGCGAGGCTAATTGTTCTACCTCCCCGCTCCCCCAGTTCTTCCAAACACAGCTCTCTTCTCTGCATTACAGTTTCCTCAATTTCCCTCTTTTAATGTGAACATCCCCGGCCACACACCCCACTGTCCCCCTGAAGACACCAGCCGGGCGACCAGCGCCCTTCCCTCGCCTATCCTACAATTCTAAACTATACTCGCTGCCCCAGGCCAGAGGAGATAACAACGTATCTCCTGCAGGTTCCGGAGATCCAACCAACACCTCCCCCACTTTTTTATCGAGTGCCATCAGTCCCCACCCCTATCCGCGCACCATGATTTTCCATACTCAACAGGTTCCGACCTCCCCTTCCACGGCTACGTTCTCCCAATATCAGCTAGGCAACCTACTTTTACCCAATCCATCCGTGTCCCTCTCTTCCGTTCCCCCCTTTTCCTAATCTACCTTCCCTGGTGCGAACTGGGGCTGTCCCTCCTAATGGCATATCCCAAGACCTCCCATTCCTCTTCGGGCTCCATGTCTGGTGCCGGCTGTCATTCCAACCGAGCAGATCCCCAAACTTTTACGAACCATTCACCAGGTCAAATTCGACCAGTGCCGGGAACGAGTGCCGGGAACGATCTCCATGTTCTATAAAACAGGGAATCCTCATAGAGAGGGGCCCGAGAGTTCAGCTGCCTGCGTTGGAAGTCAGCCACTATTGCCTGTCTGATTGCTTGGCTGACTGCCGCCCTTATTGCCTCCATTGCTGGTTTCTCGCTTCCTTTCACAACCGCACACCAGGTTTTCCAAATTCCCCAGCAGGCAGCGGCTTTGGTTATCTCCCCAGCATACTGGGTGGCACCACGATCCTGCTTGATCTCGCCTGCTTGTACCAGGGGTCCCAACAGTATCCCCTCCGTTGTCAGTTGCTTTCGGGAGAGCGGGGTCCAGTCTGCCATCGCTTGCTCCCACCATTCCCAAACCCTGACTGCATATTCACATCCCAGGAACAAGTGGGGGATTGTCTCGTTGGCCTGTCCACACACACAGCAGCTCGTGTTATGATACTGTGATTCGGAGGACTGCCACTCTGCGGTGGCCACTGCCAGATGGACGATCATCCACAGCAGACCGGCCTATTTCTGATCCGGAAGCATACCGTTGAGCTGTGTGAACCGGCGCATTGTTGCCGGATACCACCTTTTCAATGTCTGCTGTGGCACCCACCGTCTCTTTCTCCCTCTCCCTTTGAGCTCATCACTGATATCATATGGCTGGAGCAATTGCAGATTAAGGATTTTGTGGAGGCTTGGAACAGCGAAACGTGCCGGCGCCCTTTTGAAAAGCGAAAAAAGGTAGTACTCGGCACTGAGGGGCATTGAGGAATGATCTGCCCAAAATTAGAGGAAATTGAGGAATGATGACCTTATTTCAAAACTCACATCCTTATTTTTTACGTTTTAAATCGTCCCGCACACCACTTCACCATGACCATTCTCTGATGGGTCATCCATTGCTCGTACCTGTGGTAACAACATAGTAAATGCTCAGTCAGTTTGTGACTAAGCGTCCATAGCTGGGTTGTCCATAGTTGCAGTATGACATCGGGTACGCAGAAGATGGATGGTTGGGAGTACAAAGTAGGATGTCGGAGGCACTGATGAAGTATCCCACTTTGATAAAACTTCTGGAAGCACAGGCATAGGGGTATGAAGGATGATGATAATGAGAACAAAGTAGGATGGTAGAGACTCTGTAGAGTATAAATATTATAAAATCAAGAACAGAGAAGATTGTCAACACTCTCAAGTGGCAATCAATTGGAGGACTATAATCCAGAGTGTTAAGTCTTTTAAACTCAGTTTTTTTTTTTTTTTTTTGGGGGGGGGGGTCAAGATCCTTGTCTTTTTACTATTCCTGGAAACCTCGTTCAGCATCCTGTACATCTTTACCATTGTTACCCAGGACACGGACATCCAGACATCCAGACACTGACACCACTCCCATGTCTGGATGAAACCGGACGTCAGCTTAACCGGACATGCATCCGGGCATCCAGACATTCAGACGTGGACGGTCCGGCTGGATGTGTGGATGTGCGGATTCACAAAAGAGGAAACAAACAGACAAACAAGCAAACAACCTGCTACACACACACACACACACACACACACACACACACACACAGACACACACACAGAAATCAAAGCACATAACTGCTGCAGCCGCAGCAGCAGGAACAGCAGCTGCACCTGCTGTGGCAGCTGAGGTGCAGCTGTTGTTGCAGCTGCAGCTGCAAAGGAGGTGCAGCTGTTGCAGCTGCTGTTCCTGATGCTGCTGCTGTTGCAGCTGCTGTTCCTGCTGTTGTTGTTGCAGCCGCAACTACAGCAGATACAGCAGAAGCAGATGCAGCTGCATATGCAACTTCTGTTGAAGCAGCAGATGCAACCGCTGTTGCAGATGCAGATGCAACCTCCCTGCGCTGATTCGGGCACTTCAGGGCCCGTTGGGTTAGACCCCCAATGAAAAAAAGATGTCACCAACGACTTGGCGGGGGCACCCAGGCCCTCAAAAACGGCCTGGGCACCGCCAAAATAAAATTTGAATCTTTTGGGAATCGGCCCCATCCGGACCTACCGGACCAAACACCAGACCCGGACTGTCTGAATCGGGATCCGGACGTCAGTCTGGCAACCATGATCTTTACTCACTCAACGTGTACCTTACAGAATGTCCCATTGATGTCAAATGCTCCAATAGCAAAAATCAATGACTCAAGTAAACAATTGTTTTGAATGTTTAAAATGGCCCAAAATATCACAGAGAAACGAGGAGGAGCATGAGGGAGGAGACCTAGCATGCTTTTTTCCTTTTCTCTGACCATTTGGAAACTGAGACTGATGGTATGATCAGTCTGCCACTTCCCGATTTGAATGCTCACAATCAAAGACGCAATCTGACGGCAAGTCAAGATTACAGATAAATATCGGATAAACTACAACAAAGAGTACCTTGATTCATTCAACAAGGAAAAAACTTCAAGCATAATGCTCCAAAAAGCCAGAGCGCACTCCACAGGTCACTTACTTTATCATTCAGCTTCTTCCGGAGTTCTCGCTCTGCCTGAAGCTCTGTGTGCAGCTTCTCCCTCTCTCTTGATGCAGCCATTTCCGCATTCTTCTGATCCTGCTAGCAGATATGCCCCAAAATGAATGACAAACAGGCAAAGGCAGTAATGGTAGATTTGTATATTGACTGTACACTACCACTAAAGTCTATAGAAGTTTATACTAAGCTTATAGTCATTATGGTTCACAGTGCTTGTCCATTATGGTTAAACTACAATGGCAAATACTCGTAGATAAACACCTTGCTTTGCTCAACCATAATATCTTAGATCAAATTAGAATGGCAGCACACCCTCCTTATAATATAATGAAACAGCGGCGGACGCGGCAGGTTTTGAGTTTGCAAAGGCAACAAAAAAAAAATGCCCACAAAGATATCACGGCGTGGGTTTGAAACGGCAATTTGGGTAGAAAAGAATCCATTGCTAGGCTACCAGACTGCCCGGGGACCACTTGCCCAGCCGGGCCAAAAACACAAAAAAAGATAAAAAAATAAAATTAGAATTATTAGACTAAATTTCAATGGCCTAGGAAACATCTTAACCGAAGAAGACAAACTCAGAGATATCCGGACGGGCCTGGTGGGGAAGGATATGCCTAAACCCGATCTGGTTCTTCTCCAAGAGACCCATCTGTCCAATCTGGACAGTCACACCAAGATACGCGGAGGATGGAGAGAACAGTAGGGGGATGTGCATTTGCACTATGGTCCAACAAAGAAGGCCAAAGCAAAAAAGGGACGGCTATACTCATCCCAAGAACATCCAAGATTCTGACCGAGGGACAAATCCTGAATAGCGAGGGCGACGGCGAGGAAGGGAGATGGTCTTGGTTAGACATTAGGTGGCAAGAAGAAGACTTGAGAATTCTCAACCTATATGCACCTAACACGGAATCCGAAAGACTGACCTTCTTTGAGAACATCAAAACCCTTATCCCCAACCCGCAGCCGATAGTCATCGCAGGAGATTGGAACATGACCCTGGACCCCAACCTGGACCGGATCTCAAGGACAGCACAAATAGGACCCACAAGAGCGGGCACCCGGATTCGCAACCTGATGACATAATTCGAACTCATGGACCCACTCAGGGCAATGCATCCGAACAAAAAAATATTTTCCCGGATAAGGAAGAACCAAGCCAATCGGACATCACTGTCCAGAATTGACTACTTCCTCATATTTGAGAGTCTATTAGGCACAGTTAAAGAGGCCGAGATCCTCCCATATGCAGCCTTCAAAGGTCTGGATCACAAACCTATTCAATTGCTGCTTAACTTCAACTCACCCGTTGAAACAGGTCAGGGATTCTTGAGATTGAACAACTCCCTCATAACGGCCAAAAGATGGCTGCGGTAGTCAAAGAAAACTGGTCCCTCAATAAACAACGCAAGTTCAAATAAACAAATAGACACCAATGGTTCATCGACAGCTACGCAGAACTAACACAAACAGGATCAGCAGAATCACGAGATTCAGCGCGCGTGTTCAACATTGAGGATTTGGACCCGTTGACGCCCGAGGATTTTGCATGGCTACCTCTCCCTTCCACCGGCTGCTTACCGGAGCCGCAATGCGCAGCTCTTCGCACTCATTTGCATACATACCTAGCCTTCTATGCACCACCAACTTCGCCTACGGAGGACGAGGTCGCGGTGGGGGACATCCTTGCGTATGTGAGCAAGGTGGCCCGCGAGTTTCGCACGCAGCGGTACGACGACAACAACGCACCGCTCCTTTATGTCCGCATCCAAATCGGGCAAGCGTCCTGCAGCGCTTTGCTGGATAGCAGCGTGACTCGCAACTTCATTAGCCAGTCCTTCATGCAAAGGGTCGGCCTTGGACCACAAGTTCGAAGGAAGGCACACCCTACGACGATCAAGTTGGCGGACGGTCAAACGCAACAACTCCTTGATCGCTACATCGAAGCCGTCCCGGTTTATTTCGCACCTCATGCATGCGAACCGGTGACGTTCGACGTCTTGGACACAGACTTCGACATCATTTTGGGCATGCCTTGGCTCGCAAGTGCGGATCACACGGTCAACTTCCATCGGCGGACACTTACGGTTCGCGACGCGTTTGGCGCCGAAGTACCATGTACGATTCCCCCTCCGCACCCTTCGATTCGGTGCCAAGTTGTAACCGCCAAGTCTTTTCGGGCCACTTGCGCTTACGAGCGGACCGAAGAGATCGGCTTACGTTTTCTTCGAACCGTCGCGGTAGCCGACTCTCAACCTACGGACTTGTCTTCAGACCCCCGGGTGGTGCGGTTGCTCGACGAATTTGCCGATGTCTTCGAGTCACCTACCGGCGTGGTGCCGGATCGGCCGATCTCACACGAGATCATTCTTGAGGCCGGTGCCGTGCCGCCGAAAGGTTGCATTTACCGCATGAGCGAGGAGAAACTTACAGTACTCCGCGCGCAGCTCGACGACTTGTTGGACAAAGGCTGGATCCGGCCTAGTAGCTCACCCTATGGTGCGCCGATTCTCTTCGTTCGGAAGAAGAACAAGGATCTTCGCCTATGCATCGACTATCGCAAGCTCAATGCGCAAACCGTCAAGAACGCGGGACCCCTTCCTCGTATTGATGACCTTCTGGAGCGCTTGGGCGGTGCAAATTTTTTTTCCAAATTGGATTTGAAGTCGGGATATCATCAAATCTCGATTCGACCGCAAAATCGCTACAAGACCGCGTTCAAAACACGGTACGGGCACTTCGAGTGGGTTGTTATGCCTTTTGGACTCACCAACGCCCCGACGACTTTTCAAGCAGCAATGACCAACGAGTTCCGCGCAATGTTGGACCGGTTCGTGCTGGTCTACTTGGACGACATCCTTGTCTATAGCCGGACCTTGGAGGAACATCTTGACCATCTTCGACGAGTGTTGGAGACACTCCGGCACGCCAAGTTCAAAGCCAACCGCGACAAGTGCGAGTTCGTGCGTCAAGAGTTGGAATACTTGGGCCACTTCGTCACTCCCCAAGGCATCAGTCCGTTGTCGGACAAGATTCAAGCCGTCCAAGATTGGCCGGAGCCACGGAACGTCACGGATGTCCGATCATTCCTTGGCCTCGCCGGCTACTACCAACGCTTCATCAAAGGCTACTCGAAGATCGCGGCTCACTTAACCAAGCTTCAATGCGAGGACCGGCCGTTTGACTTCGGGACGGACGCGCAGGAATCATTCTTGGCCCTCAAGGCCGCATTGCTTTCCTCGGAGGTATTGCGGATATACGACCCGCTATTGCCAACACGCGTCACCACGGACGCATCCGGCTATGGCATTGGTGCCGTCCTCGAGCAACATGACGGCGTGGATTGGCACCCGGTCGAATATTTCAGCAAGAAAGTGTCGGCCGTGCACTCCATCGACGATGCACGTAAGAAGGAACTTTTCGCCTTCGTCCATGCACTAAAGCGATGGCGGCACTTCCTCCTCGGTCGACGCCAGTTCCGATGGGTAACGGACAACAATCCGTTGGTCTTCTACAAGTCGCAAGATACCGTCAACAACACAATTGCCCGTTGGATGGCCTTCATCGACCAATTCAACTCCTTTCCCGACCACATTCCGGGGAAGTCGAACCGCTTTGCGGATGCCCTCTCGCGGCGTCCGGACCACTCCACCGCGGTCTACTCAACCTTTGAGATCGAGGACGACTTGCGGGACAGCTTCATCCACGGCTATCAAGCCGACCCCAAGTTTCGCGACAAGTACGCAAACTCTTCCTCTCCCAATCCGACGCCTTCGCACTATCGGATACAAGAGGGATACTTGCTTCTTCATTCGCAGGGGAAGGATCTTCTTTGTGTGCCGCAAGATTCACATTTGCGCACCCGGCTTCTTGGCGAGTTCCACGACTCCCCCGCCACTGGACACTTTGGAGTCAATCGTACGATTGGCCGACTACGCGAGCGCTTTTGGTGGCCCGGTCTCCTCGACGACGTCACACGCTATTGCGAGTCATGCAAAGTTTGCCGACGTTGCAAACCTCGCAATCATCGTCCTTATGGCGAACTGCGACCATTGTCGGTCCCCTTGCGCCGAAGGGAAGCGATTGCCATGGATATCACCGGGCCGTTCCCCAAGCACAAGACGGGCGTCGATGTGATTCTCACGGTGGTTGACCGCCTCACCAAGTTTGCCATGTTCTTGCCTTGCCGCTATCACGCCAAGGCACCGGAGTTGGCCGAGGTTCTCTACGCCGGTTGGATTCGAACCAAGGGTTACCCCAAGGAGATCGTCTGCGACCGCGACACTCGGTTTATGTCCGATTTTTGGTTGGCGCTCATCAAACGATGTGGCTCATCCCTCAAGCCAAGTTCGGCTCGCCACCCCCAAACCGATGGCCAAACGGAGAGGGCACATCAGACCGCACAGGTCCTCCTTCGAACTCTCATCTGTCCCGACCTGAAAGATTGGGTTGAGCGGCTGCCAGATGTCGAGTTGGCATACAACTCGTCCATCCATCCGGCTATCGGGATATCGCCCTTTGAGTTCGAGCATGGCTCGCCGGTCAATTCTCCGTTGGACACAATCCTCCCACGGACGACCGAGAGCGACGACCACCTCCTCTTCATTCGTCGGATGCAAGAGCTTTTTGTCAAGGCACGTGACCAGATGGCAAAGACGCAGCAACGTATGCGCCAACAGGCCAACCGCCAACGTCTTCCTTGTCCATTCCGCGCCGGCGACCTCCTATGGGTTTCCGCTGCGGAATTCAGCCTCGAACAAGATATCTCTCGCAAGCTCCTTCCGAAATGGATGGGGCCCTGGCCGATCGTGGCACCCGCTGGGGACGCACCCGAAGGACCTTCGTTCATCATTCAGGTGCCTGCCCACTTGCCCGTCAACCCGGTCTTTCATTGTTTCAAGTTGGCCCTCTACACGCCAGCGGAACTTGACGACTTCCCTGGGCGACGATCGCAAGACCCACCCTCGATGGATGGTTTCCAAGAGGTTGGTGACATCATTTCCCAGCGACGTTACGGCAACAGGCCGACTGAATTTTTGGTCCAGTTTGCATATTACACCCATAGAGCTGACCGATGGCTGACTCGTGCGGAACTTCAAGCAAAAGCGCCCGATGCTCTCGCACGCTATGAACAGAAGCTAAAAGGCAAGCCGGCATCTTCGGCTCCACGCCGTACCCGCATCCAAGTACCGCCTTCAGATCGGCAGCTTCGCCCCCGACCGGCTTGACTTCATAAGGAGGGGGGGTGTTGCATGCTGAGCCTGCACACGGGCCCCATTTGAGGGGCCCGACGGTTGTTGAGGGGCCCCCAGGCCACGTACTATCCAGCACGCGCCCTGAAGGCCCACGGCGGCCCTCCAGGCCCTAGGCAGCACGTAGGTAGGTAGGTTTTTGTTTACTTACCCCTTTTCCTGTGTGTGTGTGCTGTCTTATTTTTGTCTGTTCAGGTGCCGTTTCGGACTTGCAGCCCCAAGGCCGGACCTTGGGACTGGGTACACCGGAAGCAGGCCCGAAACAAGGCCAGGCGCATTTTGGCGCCAAACCTGCGTCGTTTCGGGTTTGTCGGACCCAAGACAACGCCTTGGGCCAGGTGGACCGGTAGAAGGCCGTTTTTAGGCCAGGCGCATTTCTGCACCACGCTGCAGCAGCAGCAAGGTCTGGACGTCCGGTAGGGACCCAGACCACCTGCGCCGTTTTAGGCCACAGTACCAGGTAGGCCCAGCGGCCCAGCACTACATATAGCTGGGCAGCAGCTGGGCAACGGACAGTTCGGGTCGCTCACTTCTGAGCGACATGCTGCTGGTTGGAGGCTGCGCTACACTGCGCTAGGTAGAGGAGTAGGGAGTAGAACGTAGGGGAGGTAGGGAGTGGCGGACGCCATACCTGCGAGCGGCGAGCTTACCTGCGCCATAGCTGGACGCCACGCGGTACCTGCACCCAGCAACGGACGACGTCAGTGCGGTGACAGCTACCTGCAGGTGAGATAGCGAGGAGGGCTTCCTCTCCCTCCATCTCTCTCTCTCTCTCTCTCTCTCTCTCTCTCTCTCCTCTCTCTCTCCCTCTCTCCCTCTCTCTCCTCCCTCCTTTCTCCTTCTTATCTCTTCTTCTTCGAATCTGGGAGTGTGAGAGGTTATCAATAGGGATTCAGGCTGGGGTTGTAACGGGCGCACTGCCCAGGATCTGATTCGACATTTCTGGGACAGACATTGTTTGGACATTCGGCAAGAGACTATTTTGGACTTCGTCATTGCGATATTGGTGTACTCTCTCGCCTCCTCCCTCTTTCGTTTGTCCCTCCCCCATCTCTCATCCGTGGTTTCTCCCCATGTGTGTGTACGAAGGAGGGACCGCAATCATGTGCGTGTACGAAGGAGGGACCTTCCTTCCATGATTGCGGTCCCTCCTCTCTCGCCCATGTGTGATGTGTGATGGATGTCAGGTCAGTCCACGTCAGATCAGATCTTCTCTCTGAAGTCTTCCGCTGTGCCATTTGCGCCATCTTGTATGTATCGGGATGTACATTGCTTGTTGATGCTGCGCTGATTTGCACTGTCCATTTCAGTCCTGTTCATCACATTGTGGATCCTTGGTGTGGATCCTTGGTATACTGCGCATTGCTCCCCTGAGCATGCGTCAGGTCGTGAGACAACCTCTCTTCTGCAACCCTTGGATCACCGACCCTAACGGAGGGACATGGGCACTACGCACAAAAGACTGAAGATGGCTATCCTGGGTGGAAAAAGGTGTGTGGCAGGTGAAACACATCTGGGCAGAGGAGAAAGGGCGATGGGCTACCGAACAGGAGCTACGAAATGTCTTAAAAGGCTGTCACTCCCTCGCTGAAAACCTAACGTTGTTCTAGAAGAGTATCCCAGTACAATGGCTCTCCCTCCTAAGGGAGGACTTCTCGTGGAAATCCGGGGATTGGGGCATACTGAAATCCCAAATCCAGCCTACTAGAGCATATCAATTCGTCTCTCGAACCAACCCACTCAGCTACCTATCTAAAGTCTACTCATACCCCATAGCTAATCACAACCTACAAGAGCTGGAAATCCAAAACAAAGATTCCCAGTGCGACACACTTGAAACCTTCTGACTGAGAAAAGTGAGAGTTTCAAAGTCCAAACCCTGGAAATCTTCCAACCGGACCTCAGCATTTCAGACCTTGAATTCGACCCGGAAGAGTGGGTTTGGAAGCAGGGCAAATCCGGGAGAACAAGAACGATATTTGATTACGATGTCAAATTTGGCTATGAGCTGGGTCTGCAAACCACAGACCCGGACCCCAAACTCAAAGGAAGTGGAGGGAGATCCTGAATCTGGATCCCAAGGATTCCATTTCCATCCCATGGACGAAGTACCTCAACATTAGACCAGTTAGGATTTGAAGCATCCAGTGGCTCCTAGCGCACACATCGCTGCCGGTCAATCAATGGCTCCACAAGAGGAGGAAATATACTGACCCTGACAGCTCTGAGCTTTGCAGGCTATGCACAGACAGTATCCCGGAAGATATACCCCACTGCCTACTGTTCTGCACAGAAGCAGCATGGATATGGAACAAGGTGCACGACCTATGGTCCCTCCTCTTCTCATCACCCCTCCGCCCACAACTCCCCTGAACATCCTGCTTCTTTCCAACAATGCTAACAATCTCAAAGGCGGCAAGGAAGTATGGTTTCCTGCTACGGAAGTTGGCTCTATGGGTAATCTGGAAAAGGAGATGTACCAAGACGATCGAAGGAACTGAGGTGGCAAGAGAAGAAATGTGGGTACTGTTGCTGGGAATGGCCGAATCTGAGATTCGATCCAGATGGAGGGAGGTGACATCAACAACGAAAGGCAGACCAAAAAGGATATCCATCAAGGGACGGATCTTCATGAGAAACTGGTTTCTTCAGGGAAAGATTGCAACTGTGACTGATAACAAATTGATTTGGAAAAAATGGCATAGCACACCTTCAACAAGGACGGTGCACCAGTGATGGGCAAACTGAGATTTTCATCTCAACTTCATGGACGACTCTCCTCTTTTCTTGCTTTACACGAATCAGCCGACAGAGTCACAGTAGATTCTGAGAGGAAAAATGGCATGGCAAGCTGACAGTCAATCCTCCGGATAGGGAGCAATCAATGCTGATCAGGGTTCCTTCGGCCAGAAAGGAAGCGTGAGAGTGTTCACCATGTATCTCAATTTTTGACTTGCCGGTGGAAAGGAACTGGACTGACGCTCCCCAGAATGGATATGGGGCCAGGACCATAAGGACTTGTTTAAAAAAAAAAAAAAAAAAAAGAATTATTAGACTAATTGGTAGTTACTAATTAGTTTAATTTTATTTTTTATTTTCAATCTGGTGAAGAATTTTGATGTGACCCTGAGGCAAACGTTGTTCACTTTATTTGTCTACATAGCATAGTTTGCAATAACCCATATAGTATGCCCGGTAGAAAGTTTTAGGGCCTTGCCAGGCCACACCCAGGCCCAAGCCGAAAAGGGGGAAAATACCCCAGCTACAGATTCAGGGCCTGAGCGAGGAACAGTTGACTAAAGTCAACTATTGGGACCCCACAGTCAAAGTCCAAAGTGGACCCAGCCCAGGCCACCGGTCAGATGCACACACTAGTTTGTATGCAGGTACCCAGACAGCATCAGGACCAAAGGGAAATCTGCAACTGTACACAATCCAGGCCCTCGGCTGTGAGTCAATCTATCCGACTGTGGGAAGGGGACCCGAGACCAGACAGCCTCGTCAAACACTACAAAGGGCCTGGTCTCGAGGTGGTCAACATCCATTCTTGCTATGCTGCTTGGACGCTGGCTCAACTTTGACTGGACGTTGGCATTGACGCTGGCACAGCGCTAGCGAGACGCTGGCTTGACGCTGGCTGTGCGCAGGCACTGCGGATGACGATGCGGGGTTGTGGCAGCATGCTGGCGCTTTCTGTTCTGTGCGCCAAGCATTGCTGATGTGGCGCTGCCACCTGTCTACCCTGCTGATGTGGCGCATGCCACTGGTCTACATTGCTGATGCGGCGCATGCCACTGGCCTACATTGTTGATGTGGCGCATGCCACTGGTCTACATTGCTGATGTGGCACACGCCACTGGTCTACATTGTTGATGTGGCGCATGCCACTTGTCTACATTGCTGATGTGGCGCATGCCACCTGTCTCTACAGTTGATGTTGCACTGGCCACACTGTTGGCCACACTGTCTACATGAGGTGACCGGGAGATTGGGGTCTGTGGATGATTGGGATCTGGTATTCACCTAAGGTTGACGCCGTTACCGTATTCGGATGTCGTATTCATAGTCTTCATGAGATAAGAGTGCCACATGGCACTGCTGTGTAATCATGATTATCATACTTATTATCGTATACTGGTTGATGACGTGGAGAGGACAGAAGCCTAAAGAAGAAGCGGGGTTTGATTGGATTACTCTTGTGTGATCACTGTTATCTCTTCCACCTTCTCCTTTGTCTATTCCCCCTCCACACTCTTCGTCTAATGGTAATGAGATACTGTTTCAAATAACACTTCAGGATAACTGGAGACTTTGTGCAAATCTGAGACTACTTGTGCTTTGTTGTCTGATGAGTATCTGTCAGACTGGGTTCATTACAATTTGGTATCAGAGCATACTCCTTCATCGCAATCTGTCGTCAGGTGTTGACGTGGCACCCAGGTAAGTGGGAGGTGCCGCACATGCAGGACGAAACGCGTTTATTAACGCGCGCGGTCATACCGCAAGCCTAGACATGTAGTACGGCACGTGCCTGCAGCCTCCCTTGGAGATGATAACGTGGCTGCATTGAAGACTTAGAGATACCGGCGAGAGTGGCAACAGGCTGACGTAGCGCTGGTCCAGAGAGAAAACGGGACCTGTTGATGATGTGCTGAGCTGATGTGGCATGCTAGTGTTGCGTGTGTTGCAAATATGGATTGATGACGTGGCATCCCCCCCTTCGTAGACCTTTCGGTCCTTGACGCTGACGTGGCATACTCCATAGAGATGCTGCGTTGGCATGCGAGGGGTGACATGTGGCATGCATAACACGCTGTTGTGGGGAAACTGTTGAGTGTGCACTTGTGTGTTGGCAGACAGCACAGCTTCACGATTTGCTGTAGCGCCGAGTGCTGGCCCTTGCTGTGTATACTCACAAGTGTTTGTTGTCTTGATCACACTGGCCTTGGCTACGGTACCTGTACACTTACTGTAGGACGTCATCATACATAGAACGGAAAGTTAGGATCAGAAATTAA